TTCAAAGCTAAATCCCTTGTGACGTTGTCAAGCTTGCTGCAACATGTTCAGCTTCCGCGCATGACTTTGCGACAATTTGTTGTTTCTTCGACACCCAAGAAATGAAACTTGTCCCAAGGGAGAAGCAATTGCCGGATGTGCTTTCCAAATGACATCGACCCCAATCGCTATCACAATAGCCAACAAAATGGACGGGTCTTTTCTTCTGAAATTGAAGCCATAATTTATTGTCCCTTTGATGTATCATAGAACTCGTTTTGCGGCACCAAGATGTGTTTGGTATATCTACTATCATTGTCACTTTATACGTTGATGATTTACTCTATACGTTGCTGCACCATTTTCACTTTTGTTTGTACAAATTCATCTAATGATACAAAGCTTGACTTGTCTTTGGCCATACTATTGCTACATCTGCTATCAAAGTACCAAACATCGTCTTTTTCGTCGGTAGCCATATGACATGCATAAAATAAGGTACCTTTCTCATTCTTTTTATCCAAATATTATGCATGTTGATTGTTTTTTAATATACAATTTCTCTTAATATGGCCATATTTTCTGCAGTGGTTACACCGAGGCTTATCTTTGTGCCAACAGTCTCGATCAACATGATTGAATAATCTACAAAAACAACAAGGTTGTGAATTATCAACATGAGAAAATCTTCGAGGTGTTCTTTCTCGTCCTCTTGAATTTCCACATCTGCCTCGATCTTATATGTAACGTCCACCTCCTTGTGTGCCTTCTCCTCTCTGATGGAATTGAGAGGTATTCGTCCCATATAATTTGGAATTTATTGATGCCTTCGATTGAAATGCGCTTTCAATTGTCTCATCACTATGCTGAGCGATTCATTTTTCATGACCCTTTAATGATCCTATCAACTCCTGGACGCATAAGGATGAAATGTCTTGTCTCTTCAACAATAGAGACCATAGGATCAAACTTTCGAGGTAGACTCACGATAATCTTTTCAAGAATTATGCTATCAGTGATTTTTTTCTTTGAATATCGAAATTTCGTTTACAATGGATGTGATTGTATAGTAATCTTGAACACTTTCTGCATCACTCATCTTTAAATTCTCAAGCTCTCTTCTAAGGGTTTGAAGAGAAACATTTTTTAACTTGAGATTTCCTTGAAATTCCTTTTGTAAGATCTCCCAAGCATCATTGGCACGATCGGCTCCCATGATCCGTGAAAACATTTATGCACATACTCCCTGTTGAATAAAAGAAAGTGTCTTTGCATTTTTTTTTTCCGGTTTTCCTTGATCGTCCTCAATTGCGCAATGGTAAGATCTTCTTCACTTTCATACTCAGCGTATCCTCTCTCGACATATTCCCACAAGTCATGAGACCTAAAAATAGTTCTCAGTTTTACGTACCAATGATCATAATGGTCGCAAAAAAATATCGGAAATGATGAACTTTGACTAGCATGATTCTCCGTAACAAAAATTGCAGTGTTGTGGCTCTGATGTCACTTGTTCAATTTTAGGGGAAGTAATCAGAGAGATTGAAAAGGAAAAATACCTATATGTTTTATTGCCTCAACACCCCTTAAATAGCATAAGAGTTACATATATAAAATAGAATATGGGTGACTCATTATCTACCAACAGTTAACCATATTAAATATAACCTTTCAACTCATAATATCAATTCTCAATTTATTGTAGGATGTTATGCGCACATTAACTCAACATCCACCTTGTAAGCACTATGGTAAAAAAAGACATCCTCCATTTAGATGTTGGAGAAGGCTTGATGCGAAGTGCAACAAATGCATCCGAATAGGGAATGGAGTTGCCATATGCAAAAGCAAACACTTTGTACAAGGAGAAAAGACTCAAGTTGTTGATCAAGAAGAGGAAAATCAACTTTTTGTAGCTACGTGTTTACAAGAAGTAAAGCTAGTGGAAACTGGTTGATTGATTGTGGTTGCACTAATCACATGACAAGCGGCAAAGACTTGTTTAAAGAGTTGAAGCCAACCAACATTACTAAAGTTATAATTGGCAATGGTGACTATATTTCTATCAAGGGTAAAGGAATTGTTCCAATAATATGTTCCATAGGTACAAAGCTTATCTCTAACGTCCTTTGTGTTCTTGGAATAAAATAAATTTGTTGAGTGTTGGGCAGATGACTGAGAAAGGCTTTAGAGTTATTTGAAGATAAACATTGTGTGATTAAAGATGGAGTTGATTAAGAAGTTTTCAAAGTTAGAATGAAAGGTATTTCACTCTAAATCTATTGAAGGAGGAGCAATCCGCCTAGTCAATTAAGGAGTGTGTCACCTCCATTTGTCAAATGAATTGCAGTGGCAGCTTAAATGAATTGGAACGTATTTCAACTGAATGTAAAGTCAGTCTTTTTAAATAGAAACTTGCAGGAAGAAACTTATGTTCAACAGTCTAAAGGATTTGAAAAGAAATGAGAATTGAAAAAGGTGTTTCTTCTTTAAAAAAAGTCTTATATGGTTTGAAGCAAACTCTAAGAGCTTGGTACGGAAGAATAGATTATCATCTGCTAAACTTAGGTCTTGAAAAAAAAAAAAAAACTTATCTGAGATCACCTTTTATATTAAGAGCCAAGGTAATGATATTTTGGTAGTCTCTTTATGTGGATGATCTTTTGCTGACAAAAAATGATGAACAAATTTAAACGGGAGATGATGAAAGTCTTTGAGATGACTGATCTTGGACTAATGACATTTTTCTTGGAGATGAAAGTCAAGCTGGTTGAACATGAAATCTTTGTATGTCAAAAGAAATATGCTGAAGAAATTTTGAAGAAATTCAAGTTTGATGAATGCGAAGAAGTTATCATACCAATGAATCAAAATGAGAAGTTGTGCAAAGAAGATGACATTAATAAAGTTGATGAAGGATACTCAAGAAGTTTAATATAATTGTGTAATGTACCTTACAACAATGCCGGCCGATATTTTAAATGTTGTAAGTTCTATTTTCATGTATTGTGCAAGTGACCTCATCTAAGAGCTTCTAAGAGAGTGGATTGATATATTAAAGGCACAAATGATTTTGGTGTCAAATTTACTAAGCGTAAGGAATTCAAGTTGCTTGGTTTCGTTGATAGTGATTGGGTAAGCTCCATTGATGACAGAAGGAGCACTTCAGGTTATTGCTTTACACTTGGGTCAGGTACTTTCTTTTGGGTTCAAGAAGACAGAAGATTGTAGCACAATCTACTTCCGAGACTGAGTTTATTGCTGCAACAATTACTACCATCCAAGAAATATGGCTAAAAAAAATTCTAAGTGATCTACAACTTCAACAAATCAAGAAACCTAACATCCTTGTAGACAATCAAGTCGTTATAGCAATTGCTCGCAATCCAATCTTCCATGCCAAAACAAAACATTTCAACATCAAGCTATCTATTTGAAGGAAGTTTAAAAACAAAGGGAAGTTATCCTTATCTATTGTAAGATAGACAATCAACTAGCTGACATTTTACTAAGCCATTGTCAGTGACCAAATTCGAGTTCCTACGGTCAAAGCTAGGTGTTTGCAAATCCTATAACAAGGATATTTAGTAAACTTTTTTGTTCTGAAGTTTAGGAGTCCATTACTAATAGTTAATAAGTTAATGAATTTAGGAATTATTACCACCTAAAATTAATTGTTTGGACGTATTAAGGAGTCAAGGCGCTTTACGCCCGAATGTGTGTATCATGAAAAGGGCATCTTGGATTTTCAAGATAAGGGCGCCTCGGATTTTTAAAGATAAAGGCTGTCCCCGAATTGTTAGAGCTAAGAGCACCCCAAAATTTTGGAAATAGAGATGTCTAGACGTGTCAAATGTATTTTATATTGACATGTCAGGTGTAGTTTAGACTGAACATCAAACTCAAAATTAATAGATATAACAAGTCAAAAGTCTAAGTGAGGTCCAGCAGCTTCGAGTAAAGTCCAACCGCATCGAACGAAACCCGTAAATATTGTACCGCTTCTTGTGTCAGACATTTTTCTTTTTATTATTATTTTTACGATGCTAATACGAGTTGTTTGCTTTGATCATGAATTAGTTTTTTATGAGTTGGCCAAAGAGATATTGTTATAAACCCTTGAGTTATCTAACTGTTTATTTATGATTAATGTCACATTGATTACTTATTTGAACAAAAACATTGCCCATCATTTTGAAATTTATTCACTTTATATTTTTTAATAAATTAGTACAAAAATTTATAAAAAAATATAAAAAATAATATTTTAAGTCAAAATATTAATTTTTATGAGTAGATAAAAGTTATATATTATATATAGTTTAATATATGTATATTATACTCCTCATTCCTTCCAACCACAAATGATCATGTGTGTTTGTTTGAAGGATTTTGGTGGATTTCCACTATTCCAATTTTTTTCCCCCAAAAACATCAAATCAAACACCTATTTTTCATTTTTTATATTATACTAAAAATCAATTTTACATTCAAAACATCACATCAAACCCTATTTATATCACATCATACAACTATTCAAATTCAAAATTTTTACTATTTAAATCCCAACTCAAAATCCAAACCCCCAAACAAACACATCTTTAAATATAAATCAATTTAATTATATTTCTAACTTCTTAGCCCATTAAAACCTCTTTATTTCTAACTTTTTTTAATAAATAAATATTTTTATATATATTTAAAACTTTTTATTTTTTATAAATTAATTTCAAATTAATTATAAATAAATATAATTTTTATTTATTTGTATTATATAAAATTTTATTATTAAAAAATAATATTCATATTGCATATATTTTATTGAAATATAATTCTAAAAATATTTAAAATACTAACAATACTACTCATATAAAAAATAATAAACTAATATCATAAGTTAATAACTTACTATTCTATCATATCTTAAAATACAAGTGTCACTAACCAAAAAGTTTATCCTCGCCGAAAAGGAGGGAGTATTTTTTAATAATATTTATAGAAAATCATGAAACCCAAAAATATTAAGCAATCAAACATGATTCATCTATTGTACATATTGTGCTCATAAATATTTTTTACATGCATGTCTAAACAAAACCACGCTAGACAGGACATAAGTAGCAGAATCTGAGAATGGTAGACTAGCTATCCATTCTATGCTTTTACTGCACTTTCGGTAAACATCAAGCAATAATCAGACCACTTCTTTCCTTTAGACATTTTACCTCACTCGTTTGAACTACGGCACAAATACTTGTTCTATTCCTTTTTGGTATAATGGTATTATTAATAATCCATATTATGAGCCGATTGGCGTTAAGTGAACCCATTGCATGCCGTGTCACCTGTCAAAAAGATCGGGCGTGACACCACCAATTCAAGTCAATAGTATTCAGTATTGGCCTATTGCCATGCCCATTTTTTTTTCCATTGAAACAAGTTACAAATAGAAGGTTAGGATAGGAAAGAAAGATGGCCAAAAGAATGACAAGGGAAAGACCAAGATGGTATGTTTGTGATCAAGATATCACTTACCGTTGCTTCGTCTCCGGGCTTTGAAATGGCCACTCGAATCTGAAGTCGAGTGAAGCTTCTTTACTGACTTCGTTGATTGGTTTGGCTTCTTTGAAGATATCAGAGATGATGACAGTAGAGTATCAACCTCTTCCCTCAGCTGTTTTCTTTTCATGATTGCATCATTAAGCATACCGACTTTACTAGAATCTCCAGGTTCACCTTTCTCCTTCAAGCTTCTTTCAGAAGAGGATACATTGCCACTCTGCTCCAGTTGCTTATTCTTAATGGTTTCAGATATCGGGGATTTCTTACTTCTATTCTTCATCTTTCCAGTATTAGCTGCATTCCTTCTTACATCATTAGTTGGTCCCTTTTCCACATCAGCGTTTGCTGCATTACCTTGAACATTACTAGCCCTGCTGCTAATGCGATTTTCAGTCTTCACTTGATCTCCTCCCAGCTTTAACTTCCCACCATTTAATTCCTTATTGCAACCATCTGACATTGCAACTGGAGAATCATCTTTAGCCCCTCGAAAGTTCCTTCCCTTTGGGCCTCTTCCTCTGCCATCTTCCACTGAAGGAGTGGCGGCACCCTCACCCTTTTGGGCACTTTCCAGCACCGTATCAGCATTTAATTTTCTCTTCCTTTCAGAAGGATGCTTCCTGCTGCCCTTGGGTACATTCACACAGTCATTTCCAGCTGTGACGTTTTCACCTATCCCCAACTGTACATTAGAGGGATTTCCGGAACTTTTGTTAACCAAACTGTACTTACATATTGAATTATACGGCTTTCGGGCTGAGACAATCAGACTCCTGCGTTTTGCATCATCTATAAGGGCAGCCCAGCTCTGGTTTGTCTGTAGGGTTCTTGCATTACCAAAAATCCATAGAGAGAGTTTCGCCCTAGTCAGAGCAACATTCATCCGTCTGACATCAGCAACAAATCCAATAGAGCTAGAGCTACTTCTGGGGGCTTCGGAACAGGATCCAGTTGCTCTAACTGTTGAAAGTAGCAGAATATCAACTTCTCGACCTTGAAAACCATCAACTGTATTAAACTCCATCTGAGAGCTGATAGAAGATCCAAATGCATTGGAAAACCGGGAATGCAGAAGTGACATCTGACGCTTGTAAGGAGTTATGATGCCAATTCTTCCACCAAAAAATTCAGCATTGTAGCTGTCAAAATGTAACTTTTCTTAAGCATACAAGCTGTAGACAGAAGAATCTTAGTGATGAAGAATACGTACCTCTTTTTAAAAAACCTAAGCACTTCGACTGCAGCATCAGCCTCACAATGATTGTACAAGGATACAGATGCTGTACTCTTGCCACGAATCTCCTCCCCATCAGTGATATCAAAAAACACATATGGCCCAAGGCACTGAATCTCATGGAAAGGGGCATCTTTGCTAGACATCTTATCCCCATTCAGTAACTTGCCCTCATAGAAATGTGAAGAAGGAAAACGGCATATCTCAGGATGCATTCTGTACTGTTAATTTTATAGACAGATGATTACTTTTCAATAATGAGAACCGGAAGAAACACATTTCATATAGTAACAGAATAAAATAGATGAATAAGTGTTCAGTAAGGGTGTGTTTGGTTGTATGAGTTTGAATTTGAGTTTTGAATAGTAAAATTTTGAAGTTGAATAGTTGTTTGATGTGATATAAATATGTATTGAACTATTGATATGATATTTTAAATGTACAATTAATTTTTAATATAATATAAAAAATAAAATATAGTTGTTTGATTTGATATTTTTTGGAGCAAAAATTTTAATGAATAGTAAAATGCTAATCAAAATCCTTCAACCAAAATATATTCAATCTGGCATGCATAAGAATACCATCTAGCCTAATACTGGCTCCAGTATGAAAAAAGATGCAAGGGTGCAACCATACAACCAAATGAAGAAGGTAGGAGGACAACAGACATCAGACAGGGCTTTCATGGATCATAGTTGCAGACCACAGCATAAAGAAATATTCCTCCAGTCTAAATACAGAATACTTTCTTACAGTGCAAACTTATATATATGTTGCCAGATTTAGTCTACTATATACTTGAGAGATATTTATAATCATTGCTAATCTTCAACAGCTTAAACCACTAAAAATATATTAATATAAAATTATAACATTTAATCGCCATTACTGACAGCCAATTAAGATAATCTCTCAATTTAAAATCTATTAGTAATGAAGAAAACAAAATATCAAAGATGTGATAATATGGGAAGCAAATAAAAAGAACAACACAAACAAGTAGGGTTTGTTTGCTTTCAAAAAATATACACTGTTCCCAATAAAAATATATTTATAATTTTCTCTCACAAAACATTTAAAAAATAATTAAAATATTTTAATAATACTTTTATAGTTTCCAATAACTAATAACAAAAACTCAAATTTTCCTAAACATTTAAAGAACACACATGTATATACTATCTTCCAACAACCATTAGAAAAATAAATAAATAAGCCACAAAACGGAAAATTCAAAGGCTGTCGGTGTGAGGAGATAGCAAAATTTAAACTCTTTCAACAAAATAACAAAAGGTACAAGCTACAGATATTACCAAATTTATTCATACGCTTGTATTGTTCCTCTAGAGTTAGAATGAACTAACTACTAAGGAAGGAAGATTAATTCCAATTATGAAAATACTCATGATAACTGGGTTTACCTGTTGAGTAAGCATGACTATAGGATGGCCCGCCCTCTGAAATCGTTCAAACATGCTACATTGGAATAAGTATTTGCTGGCAACATTAGAGAGAACTGTGGCAGGAAGCTGCTTTGGATCACCAACCTAAACAATATATTCCCATATTAATGGTGCCTAGCACACTTGAAACAACAATAACAACCACAACAATAAGCATACTTGATTTTGACATACTGCTTACCATGATACATTTGGTACCCTTCGATTTTAGTAGCTGAAGTGGAATCAAGGTGGCAGGTTCCAGTGCCTTGGACAAAATGCAAAACAGAATGATTTCAATAAACTTGTAAGACTACACATAGTTGAAAAAGCAAATCAACAGACAATATAACACAGGGAAAAGAAGGTACTTGAGCAGCCTCATCAATCAAAACAGCATCAAATAGTGTATTTTCAGATGAATTAACAAATTTATGGCCTGATGTCAATCCAGAGCACACCGAAAATAGATCACCACCACAGCCACTTAATGTAGTCACCACAATTTCAGCCTCCTTTAAAATACTCATTCGGAATTTATGTCTTAGGGCTCTTATTTCCCCATTAATTTTCTTTTCTCTCGCCTGAACATTGACCAGATTTGAATATAGGGCCTTTTTCTCTTCATATAATTTCCTGAGTTTTTCTTGTAATTCAACATCAGACAATTCCTTGGCTTCTCCATGGTCTCTTTCCACGGTTACTTTAGAATCAGAATTTCTTTCTTGCAAGCTAGAGCGCTTGGCTTCATAGTATCTTATGCGATCCACTAATTTCTCCAGATCAGCACGTAGTACAGTTAAAGAGTCTGAACAACTCCCACTCATTTTCTCATCAAATACAGACCCCTTCTCCTCTCCTATTCGGTTTTCAACTAGTTTATCAATGAAGAAAGGAAGAGATTTTGGATGCACTGTCTTAACATTACCAACTCTCACAAGATACGGTTTGTACATCTCTCCATAACAATCAAAAAAATCTTCACTTGATATCCTTGCAACTAGCTCATCAACTGCAGCATTAGACTGAGAACAAATAAGAATCCGGCGTCTAGTGCAGCCAGCTGCAGATTTGTCATAATCTTTTACATCCTCGTTAAGTTGTCTAGCCAATGCTGCATCTTGCCAGGCTCTTGCAATTGCAGCAGATTGACTGATTTTTTGGTTACTGCTAGATACATTGCTACAAACTGGTTGACCAGCCCTTACATTTTTCATATCTTTGATTTGAGAGAAAGCAAGCAAACCACGAATAATGGCCACAATGGTTCGAGTCTTTCCAGTTCCTGGAAGAAAAATAAAAATAAAAAAATATCATAATGAGAAAGCAATTATTTGATGAAAGTTCACAAATTCCAAGAGCACAAAATACAAATGTGGGGAAAATGAAAACAACTCACCTGGAGGACCCTGTATTAGAGTCAATTCAAAATCTTTCAATCCAAATGGACCAATAGCTAAACTAATAGCCTGCAGCTGACAGCCATTATAGGATGAACTGAAAATCTGCTGCAGGGGTTGTGGTAGCTTACTAAGCTTTTCTGTTCTGGATTTGTATTGACCACAAGGATTATTCACAGGGTTTAAAATGACTGGAAGTAAGGGAATTTCCCTTATTGATGACAATGCCTGGAATTCTCGAAGTTGAGGGGTTATGTTCATAATGCGACTAATATACCACTTGCTTCGCTCAGTGAGAAGCTTTCTAACTCGATTTAGACGAGAAGAACCTTGAAGATACAATCTGATGGTTAAGATATTTGATCTTCTATTATTGTCTTTTTCACGCCTCTCAACCTACGAACAAACATAAAGCATCACTAATATGCAACTTACAGTAGGAACAATACACTTTGGTGAAAATGCCCACCACATTGAAAACCTGTCTCCAGGCCACAATTATAGTGAGAAATTACAGATGCAACTAATTCTCAAATTATTACATGTTGATCTCCCAGCAGATATTTAAACAAAATGATAGAAGGTTCGATCATTATCTATAAAAAAAAATGCCTTAAGAAACAAACACATGCACTCAAGCACACACAAACAGATTAGCAACCCTAATATAATAATGAAAAATGGCAAATACATGCAAACAATATTGTAACTTCTGCAACCAACAATGCCACTTCACTAATAAGAACAAAAACATGTACCACTAAGGTGATGTTTAAATGGATTTTGCACAAAAAGGCAGAGTTTCAGCAACATGTCAAGAGATGGCTTCGGCAGTTCAAAAGAAATTGATCTCACAAATGCAAGCATAGATTTGCTGGTTGATATTGGCATAGGAAACCTTATATATTACTCAAAGAATAAGAAAAGAGGTACCCCATCGACGAAGTGAAATGAAAATTGCAGACAACTTCAAACTGTCTCCTAAAATTAGACAACTAATATCACTAAAAATCTAAGTAATAAATATTCAAATAGCTCAGACCTTTCCAATAGTGTGAACATCACTGACAGAATTTGGCATGGGTTGTCTGGTAAGTAAAATGAGGTCATTTTCCAAAAGGTTACTGGATCCAGCTGTATCATTTTCATCATGTACAAAACGAATGAGATGGAAATCATCTATTCTCTCAACAGACAGAACTGATATACTTCCACAGCACATTTCATCACCAGAAGACATCTCCTGAAAGGAACTTAGCATTTGTGCTTTGAATTCTTCGAGCACCAATGGCCTGAAAATTTCAATATATTCATCAGGCGATTGGAAATACACAGGGACTTCCTTCAATTTGCCAACATTTTGACTGCCTTTATCATTTCCAGGAATTGGTCCAATAGCTCCAAAGAAATCCAACTCCAGAATGGGTCGATACCAATTATCAAGCCTTGGGGGCTGAAATCTTTTCACACCACCACCCAGTCTCACAGAACCAGGTCTGTGTTCCACCGGTAAGGAAAGTTGGATGATTTGGCGTTTAGGCCCAGAAATGTTTGGTTTTAGAATAGGTGGTTGCAGACGTTTGGGAGGCTTAAAAAATGAAAAGTTCCAAGCATCATCATCAGCATCACAGACCATACCTTTTACAGCTTCATCACAATTTTGTACATGTGTAACCCCACTCAGCTGAACATTACTCGCACAAGTCATCCCTTGATCAGAAGGGGCACTGTTACACATGTTCATTTGAGATGTAGATGAAATAAACTGCTTTGAACTGCCTGACCTTTTTGGCAAGTTTATACTGTCTTTCGCTTTACCATCCTTTGCTTCCTTTATCATGCTTTTTGGATGCTCTTGTTGAGTGGAGGTTAGAGATGCTATATTGCCATCAGTGGTATCTGAACTCATTTCCTTACAAACAAGGTCATTAAGACTTGCCTGAGAGGAGACTGTCAGACACTCATTGGTGCCGTAATCCTCTACCAGGTCAGCTTTTAATTTTTCCCCAGCATCACCTGTCTCTACATTAACATCTGTACTTTTCCCTGATAAATCGCTAGGGCACTGCATACAGACAGAAACCTCAGGCTCTCTCTCATCATCAGAAAGAATTATCAAATGGCCTCCTGTATCATCAGCTTTTTCCTTTTCAACTAGAATAACTTCCGATTCTACTGAGCAAGCTCTCCTATTCGATGGCTCTCGTGAAAAGGAGCATGATGACACAAAACCAGTTTTCTTCAAAGTTGAACCCTCATCGATAATTGAAACAGAAAGGCGAGCAACTTGCTTAGTCACCTCATCCATAGACATTTTTTCTACAGATCAGAGAAAGATTAAGGATTATGAATGGCATTAAGTATTAATTGGCATAAAAGATAAAAACCAGATCAATGGAAAGATGACAAGCTCACCACATGAAATAAGCTTCTCAATATCACTAATTGCAGAAAGAGATTTATTGATGCAGAAAGTTTTAATGCGACCAAGCAAAGAAACCAATGCTTGTTTCCAATATCTAGTCACAACCGCAAGTGATGATTTCCCCCAATCAGCCAAATCATGCAGCCACTTCATGTAATTGAAAGTTTCCATCAATATCTCCGAATTTTGGGGAAGCCTTTCAAAAACAGCAGGTGCGGCTTCAAGAATACGGATGCATGTCATCTGCAAGTAGAAACATTTCACATGCATTAAGAAAGGTGGAGTAACAATTTTCTTAAATTTCATAGAAGCTCCCTTGACTAAATCCTGATATAAAGTGAAGCTGCAATTTAGCACAACAACAACTATAGGCAACCAAAATCCACAGAAACATGTTTAACATATTTGACCTGAATGAAGGCTAGAAGACAATTAAATATTCCAAACCATATTCATCACAGATAAAGAATAAAAGCAGAAATAAAGGCTGGAACGTTGCACAACAATTTCGCAAGGCTTTAAATGCATATAAACACAGTGAATAAATTTAAATATCAAAACCAAAAGGCTTTGCAATGACCTGAGAAACTGTGTAACATGTGAATGTCTTGCCACCATCTAAGCATCTCAGAATTGAAGGCCATGCTACTTGTGACAGCAAGCAGCAAAACTTCTCCCACAACGTTAAGGTAACAGTCTCAAAGTTTTGATTACCATCGGCAGATGAACAATCAAATACAGGCTGCCTGAAAAATCCACCTTGCATTGATGTTTTTGAGAGGTCAGAGACATCCAATGGATTTTGGCATGTGGATAGAACAGATGAATTTCCTTCTCGGAGCACTTTGTAAAGGATGAAGAAGAGATGGTGTAAAGTGGAAAAGTTCGACAGAACTGAATCCAGCTGAACCTGAGAAATATTGAGCAGACATACATTGGTGAAGTTAAAACTATTAAGCTTATGACCAGTTAGTTACTCGATGGGGGAAAAGATAGTACAGAAGTTCCAAAATATGTATGGAGTCATGGACAGAACTGAATTTGAACAATGCTAATACTAGCAGTTAGAGACACAAAGTTTCTGAAATGACTACACACTGCCTTCAACAGTAATGCAAATGTACGTACCATGAACAACTAATGTAATTCTAAGAGACTAGCTTTTCTTCTTTTAGATTTTTACAATCAAAATGATCAAACACACACAATAATAATAATAATAAGAACAACAATCCGATCAAATAAATAAATAAATAACAACAACAACATGAATCTACAACAGATGCAACATACAAGGAATTAAATTAAATATAGTGATCTCGATCTGATACAAGAAATACTCCTGTGGACTTCAGCATTTGGCAGAAGTATTAATTTTTACACTCGAACAAAAAACGCCACTTCCTTACTAAATCTTCTTACCAATTTTAGTGCATGTCTCAAGCCCAAAAGGATGCCCAACAATGAAGACTGAGTGCAGCAAAGAAATTGCAGACCACCGGTAAGGCCACGCACATCAGAAACTTGTTCAAGCATAAGCCTGCCCACTTGCCTTGTATTCTACAACAATCAAATAAATTTTGCGACAAAGTTTAAATTAATTCTATCCATAAATATATATAGTAGATAATCGTGTTCATGAAAACCTAAAAACCCAAAATATAATAAAGAATAAGAATCACACATCATTGGAATCCACAAGCAAGAGAATCAAACAACTGCTCATCTCTGGCTCCCAGGTCCACTGCTTCCTAAGCTCTCCTTGTCCCATTCTAACCGCGTAGTCAGCAGTCAGCCTGCAATATTCATACAGTGGAGCAACTCTTAAGATTATAAAATGGAATACAAATTCATAATCCACACAGTTGATAATGAAATCTAATGTAGGTACCAACCTCTTGAATGTCCTAACTAATGGTAGACACATTGTTGAAGTTTTAATAGAGTTTCTCAACTCTGTTCCACCCCCACCATCATCAGAACCAGAAGGAACCTTCCACCCTAAAAGAAATGATATTTCCGAAGCCTGGGTTGCAAACCAATTTTTAATCGAAAGAGAAGTATCTGTGCTACTTGCAGGTTCAACAACTGAAAATCGAGACAATGCCCAAAATACAGCTTTGGAGAAGGACAGTGGAAAAACCAATGGATCTATTTCAACTAACACCTCGATCCATAACATAGGCACACACATCCAGCTCCCATCTACTTGTGATACATTTTTATACTGCAGACTGAACTCTTTCCAACAAGTGTTGTTTTCTTTGACATCAAGATGAGACAGAATCTCTTCCTCTTCTACATCCCGGTAATTAGTAGGCTTTATTGGTTTATCACCGGGATGCAAGTGACCTCTCAAGATTACAGAGATCAATGCTGCAGCATCAGACACTATAATTGTTTGAATGAGATCAATAGCAGGTTGCCGAAGAGAATTGTGCAGAGACGAATCCTTCAAAGAAGACACAAGAGAAGGTCCCCTGTAAATGTTGCCGCAGGAAGAAATTGTATCTTAACAAATATATAGCCATTTACACACAATATGGTGAAAGTTATACACTAATTACTCAAGATTCCAAAAATAAGTTCAAGGTCATGTTGCCAATAGATACCTACCACATGTGTGCACATTCAGAAGGTGGGCAAGGTGGATCCATTCTGTAGCCTCTAAGAACAATAAAAAGAGCTATCTGCAAAGATTAATAAAGGAGAAAACATGAACGTTGAAATGAATCCTAAACAACAAGTTTAAGCTAAGATATCAAAGAAAACAGAAGAGCAACCTGGCATGCCTTTTTCCTCATCAGTACGCTAAAATTGCTACTCACTGGCACTTGATGGAGAAGAAAGTATAGAAAATGTCTTCTCTGTTTTTCATGTTCCCCGTCTTGTAGAGCTTCAAGTGACTGGAAGAAATGTAAAACACTTTAGTCAATGAAGCATATCATACCACTTGGGAAAACAGAACTAGCAAGGGTAGGTTGATAAAGAGCAAACAAGGGAAGTAAAACATGCCTGCAGAAACGGCTGGAAAAGATCAAAAATTTCTTTATGGCTTTTCTCAATTCGAGTATGGAAACATTGACCCAGAAGTGTATTTCTCATAACACTTGGAGATAGTGTAGCTCTCAACCATAGTTTACATCCTGTTCAATAAAAACATCAAAGTATTTGATGCTAAAGGTCCAGGCGAATATAAATAAAAGGAGAAAAGACCATATACCAAGCTTCTCAAATAGAAGTCGTAGGCAGTTAACAGCATGAGAAAACTCAAGTGAATCATCACTAATATGGTTCAGCACAATACTAAGGAAAATGGGATAACGATCTAAAACTCCTTCTTCAAATGCTGGAGGTTCCAGAAACCCAACCCTTGAACACGAAAATTGGAAAAAAAGTTACTAAATACGAAATAAGTAAAAGAGCCGGATCTCTACCTTCTATGCTCTAATCTAATTATCTTTTTCCTTTGTGAAAAAAAAAGGGGGGGGGCAATATGCTAAACAATTTGAGAATGAAACCTACAATGCTTTCATTCCAAGCCATACAGTTAGTCGATCTACGTTTACCCTGGGCCTTGGTGTCTCCGTAACTGATAGCATGCCTTCTGGTTCTAATATAGATATCCATTTTTTGAGCAGGTGCTGTAATGGATCCAGATCTGTAGATTTCCTGCATGAACAAACGATGAAAAGAAGGGCCATATTAGGAATGTGTAACATGGCCTTACTGGTATGATCCCAACATGAATATTTCTGAAGTTGTAAGCAGTATCAATCTTGCATGAACTATTGCACATGTAAAGTTGGAATCATGTCATTTGGCATATTGGAACCACTGAAGATTGACAAAATCATAACTAAGAGAATAGATAGCAATCTTACAAATTTCTTAAATAAGATATCATGATAATGTTAACAGAACACTTGGAGAACTCAAGACATTTTCCAAACATATTCTCAGGAAATAAAAGTTAAATAATAAATTGCAGCTGTCGTAAGTTCTATTACAATTCAATATTTCACTATAAAGCTTTAACATCAAAGATGACTCTCAAGGTAAATCATCCCTTCAAAGAAAGCATATGAATTTTTTTTTTTTTTTTAAAAAAAAAAGAAGAGGTTTATACTTTTTTTTTTTCAAAAAAAAAAAAAAAAAAATAAAGGTATGATTCATAGCATAGAGCAAAATGGTATTTAATAGAACATCTAGACCACAACTTATGCAAAAACAAAATGATTGCACATAACATTGACAATATGCCTTTGAAAGCATTCACAGAAAAGATATCTTCATTATTTCAATTTAATGAAGTATACCAAGAATAATAAGATTGCCTTGTTCTATATAGGTAATTGAACATAGTGTCTACCATATCACTATGACATACAGAAACACGACTTTTTCTATTCAAGTAATCACTGATCCAAACTTGAAACAAGATGTTTAATAAATAAATAAATAAAGTTAATGCAATTTTGTACTCGTGTGTTTGCCTTCATTCCCCAGCCAAAAACACCAAAATCCACCTATCATGATATAAGAAACTGCCAGACAAGGAAGACAGAAAGACTACCTCAATTTACCCATATGTCCAGCCAAGCGAAGACCTATAGATCTCACCCTTCTGCTTTTGAAAAAAAGCAATGCATAAACTCCCTGAAAGCAGTATGATCAAGGAAAAACAAAAAAAGCATCTTCAGTGTGGATAAACAAACATATAATTACCAGAGCTAAAGGACAAGATAAACTTAATGCACAGAGTTCATACCGGATACTGTTGATGCCCATCTAACATCAACTCGTGAGAATTATCAATAGCTTCAATAAAATTTTGAAATTCCATGGCCAACGATAGATCATCCAACAGGACAGGAAACATCAAAACCTTTAATTTTGAGGGGAAAATGAAAATATGATAAGAACAAATGATATACAATCATATTTAACCAAAGAAAAAGGGGCTAAAGGAAGGATGCGAATCTAATGAAAATGAATTTCCCAAAAAAGTAGTGCTGCATTTCCCAGACTCATGGCTTATTCCAATTTTATTTTAAGGGGAAAAAAATCACATTTGGATGAGAACTCAGAAAATGTAACTTAACCAAAAATTAAAACAGTAAACATCAATATATTGCTAATTCATGCTACCAATATATATACACATATATCCATCGATAATCTTACAAGAAAATAGGCATGCATATGAGAGGTGTCTCGCATTAAACAATAAATGGTTTAACCTGACAAATTAAATGTTTGAGAAAAAACTATTTAGCAGTATATAATGCAGAGTATGCTCATCGTGTATAAGGTTTTAAGAGTGAGAGAAACCCAGCCAATTATGTAGCAAAAGCATGTAACCAATCTTTTTTTTTATTTTTTTTGGATGTAAAATATATAGGCTAATGGATTAAAGATTGTACCAGATAGTTTTTGCAACTTAGAAAATTAAATTGTAGGATCAGCTCTGGCGTTAACATGATGTACAGAAATCAAGGTAAGAAATTAGTCTAACATATAAAAGCAAGATTAATTAAAACAACGGTGCAAGAGATTCAATCCCAAACCTTGTGACCAATCTATTTAAACTTTAGTAATATAATCAATAAATCAGCCATAAATGTGTTATAGAGTTGAGGGGTTTGTTCACCTAGTGTTTTTAGGTGGAACGATTTTTCATAAATATCATTAAAAAATACAATATACGTACATATTAACACAATATATATAGTATATATACTTTACCCAATCACAAAAAGTCAACAATTCAACACAAAATATTATTTTTTTATATTATCAATACAATTCTCCGTACCTAACATAAAATACATATCCATCCAAAAACACAAAATGAACAAACCTGAGATTTCCAGCCACGCATTAATGTGGTTAAGCTTATAAAGTTCCATTAACCAAATGATAAGGAATACAAAAAACCTATCTTGATTGTGGAAACGTATATGTAAATAATGTCATTCATATGAGAGAATAAAAAAGTCATACTGACAATTCATGATCTCAAGTTCTTAACATAAAACTAAACAAAGTTGGGACATCACTACATAGCCATGAAAAATTGATTGCTAACGGAAAATAAAGAAGTAACTCATATCTTACCAGCAAAAGCTAACCTATAGCAGCATATTAAGCAAGCAATATTGCATTTATTTTTTATTCTACATGTAGAGCTTTATAGACAATCTCTCAAGACTTTATTCAACTATGACTTTCCTGCAGCCTGGATAAGAGTTATTTGCCATTCTATGCCATTTTCCAGTTCTATGTTGAAAATTAATCTCATTTCTGACAACACATCTTCCAAGAAAAACTTCATTTTTTCCAAGCTTCTATTCATAAATATCATTAGGAAAACTCAGAAGTATTGTTTTATTTATTTCTTTTCAAAAATGAATTATTAAATTTTTATATAAACTTGTGCATGAACATTTTGGCAATACATCATTCTTCAGTAATTAACTAATCCAACATAACCCTTCCAGCTAGACTGCCAAAAAAAACACTACAAAAATGGCGCAACCATCCATTACACTTCCTATTCACAACAAAGACAGTGTTAAACACCGTGTGGAATAAATTTAGGCCAAGTCCATCAAGTTCCAATGCTTCAAACAACATGCTATTACAGGAAGAGGCAAATTAAGATAGAAAGTGGATACAAACCTCAAACATGACACTAACAACTTCTCCATAATCACGTGAAGTATCATACTCCCCTCGTGCTATTATAGCATTAAGATCCTTCAGGTGTTGGGTTATTCGTGCTTCATCAAGCATATGTAGCACATCAAGCAGAGGACTGATACAGCTACGCTCATATTCGGTATCATACATCTGCTGAGCTTGATGATGCTGATGAATGCACAGGGTGCAACTTCTCATCTCTTTAGATAGTCTACTCCACAAAATCTTAAGGGGAGAATCAACACACTCCTCCTTGAAATAATTGTAGAATGTTTCCAGAAGGGGCCCCATCAGATCCCAGTAACCACACCAAACGTGAGTTTCTTTAGGTAAATGTATCAAGAGGTTGAATGCATCTGAGAACCTAGTGTGGTGCATTGACAATTAAATATTTAGCAGAAAACCCATAACAATGTGCAAGAATACCAAATGATCACAGCAACAGCACTCTAATCACTGTGACTCTCCTGTATTTACAGCTAGTATTGGCAATTTGAGCATAAGGACTAACTGATTCAACAGTGATTTCGTTTTGGTCAGGAACAAAATGTGGAAGGCAGATTACATAAATTCGTGTGACTTTCTTTATATTTCTTGCTTCTAAACAATTATAACCGTAGTTTACCGCGTGTCATTGACTCATTGGCTGCAAGATACATGATATGATATAAACAAAAACAGAATGAAGTGCAATAGATAGTAAAATTAGAAATAGAAAAGGAATTGTGGGGCGAAGAGATAAAAGAGAACCATTGTTCTTTGAGTTGGCGGAGACGACGGGGTTCAGTTGAATGGTTGAAAGGAAGTCCATCAATGTCGTCTTCTTGTTCGATAACACTCCATCGCCGCAATAGCTCTTCTCTGGCGACAGTATTCCCAGCCATGTCTCGGCTAGCTAAAGGACTAGGGTTCTCAATAGTTCGCGCTAAATAGAATATTTACAGCGATTAACTCAGTCGGTTCAAGTCTCGGCATTGTTTTGGCACCCCCAAGGTGCGGAACGAATTAGGAAACGAAGGACGCTTATACTCCCTCCCAAATTTTTTTTTCTTAATTTATTTTATTAAATAAAAAATTTTGTTATTATCATTATTCTTGATTTTTATTTTGAATTTTGATTTTGGACAGTAAAATTTTGAATTGAAATAGTGATAGTGATATAAATATATATTGATGTGATATTTTTTAATATAAAAATTTAATTTTAGTGTAATATAATAAATAAAAAATAGGTAATTGATTTGATATTTTTTTTAGAGAAAAAAAGTTTTGAATAGGAAAATCAAAAATCAAATCACACAAGTTGGTTAGTTTATTTGTAAGATTTTGGTTTTGGATTTTGGTTTTAAATAGTAAATTTTTTAATTGAAATAGTGGTTTGATGTGATATAAATATGAATTGACGTGATGTTTTAAATGTATAACTTAATTTTAGTATAATATAATAAATAAAAAATAAATGTTTAATTTGGTATTTTTAAAGGAAAAATAAGTTTGAATGGTATAAACCAAAAATCAAATGGCACAAGTAAATTTATTTTATTATTAATTTTGGCAAAGTCAACAAATCAAACATTAAATGTTATTATATTTATTATATTATCTCCTCATTTTTATTCTAATTAAATTTTCAAAAATATTCATAACTATCTTTTCTTTTCTTTTTTTTATAGCAATGGTTGCATGCAATGTGAGCTGTCTACGTACCAAACGGTCCCATAGCAAACAAACAAGATAAGCCTAGTAGTCTTAACTATCAAAGAGCCCAATGCAACATGTCTAAGACATCAACAATATCAAGCGCTAACCTATCTAGTCCAAATATCAATCAAGTAAGAGGCTGAAGTCTGCTACATGAAACGAAAAGTCGGGAGATCGTCAACATCTGCTCGAAAAAAGGTCTCTAATTGACGAAGGGATATCTGTCGGGAGAAGTATCCGCTCAATCGGGAGAGAAACCGTTGTAGTCGCTAAGGCATTTGCGACAATAAGTATTCACAATCAAGTAACAATCCAATTATTCAGGCCGATCATTACTATGATCGTTAATATAATTGTTATATTTTCAGTGTTAATAAATAGTAATATAGTGGGAACGCATAAAATATCCACGTTTGATGTTCATATTATGATTACACATGTAGTTCTTACAATAGGGAACAATCAGATAGGCATGTCAGGCTTTAACGAAATGACTTATAATTTGTTCGTACTAAAAATTTTGACTAATCTGATAAGTGTATGGCAATCCCAACGAATTATCAATTCAAGAATGTGATCATTCATCATTCTTACTTGAGCATAATGAAATGGTATTGAAAATCAATTTCTAAAATACAATTTGTCTGAAAAAAAAAATGCTCAGATGAAAACTATAAAATTATTTTCAATAAAATATGAAAAAAGAATAACAATGAGAAGAACAAGAAAATAGTTTGATTATGTCCGGTTATCAAAACTGCAACTCTTCAATCTCAAAGAAACAAATAGTTCACATGAATAGAATAATTACACAATTGAATGATCATGTTTCAAATTTAGAGAGCATTTAACAATGAGCTTTTTCAAAAGTTTTTAATTTGTTTTATAACACTTCATAATTTCAAATTAATATAAAAATTTCTCAAATTTTTTAAACCCAAAAGAACACAATTGAATATTTTTAAAAAATAAAATATTAATGTACTCAATTGTCATTTTATATATAAAAAGGTAATAAAAATTATTTTACCAAACACTTTAATACAAATAACCAATTGAATCAGATAGTCGAACCAGCTAATTGAATTGACTAACAGCTAAAAGTTATCGGTTGATTATCAAACACATCCTTAATAAAATTTCAGACAAACTCTGGCCAATGTATATGACTTAAGTGTGGATCTTAAAAAGACAAAAAACTGAAATAAAATGGAAAAATTATTGTTTTAAATTCGTATTTTGATTTAATTTTGATTTTCCCCAAACTTATTTAAAAGAATTTTCTAATGTTCAATAAAGTGGCACAAAAGAAAGTCTTAAAAATTTTGTATATAATCATTCAATTGTCTCACCGAAAGATATAATATTGAGGTGTCCGCAACAGACATTTATTTGTTTATATGGGAAGATAATGCATAAAGAATTATATTTGTGATACACATAATATATTATTGAGAAATTTTATAGAAGTGTTTTATTAACAAAATATATTCTCAATATTGTTAAAAATTGTGAAGATAATTATCATTACATAGAAAATTATCTTAAAGAAGATATTCTACAAATTGTTTTGATGAAATCCATCTCAAAGATAAATTTTGTGTCAATGTGATTCTGTGATTGTATATTCCATATTTTCAAGTGAATTACTATGGCATTGGGTGGTACTCAAAGATAGAAAACTTTAATGCCCACAATACTAGAGGGCCGATGTTAACTTACAAAAGTTATACGAAATTCTAATATTGGATTGTCTCAAATTGATAATCTCCAAATTTCAATTGATTACAAGGATTAAATATTCTTAAAATTAAAATAGAATACTATTCAGATCGAACATTCTTCTTCAAATTGTGCAAATCGAACAATTTAGGGATCGCAGAGATAGGATAGTCCAAATTGGTCACTCATTTGCAAATTATTATTATTATTATTATTATTATTATTATTATAGTTTTAGTTTTAATATAATAATATTTGCAATTTTTTTTTAATGGGTGGTTACTGATCCAATTATCGATAATTATTTTTGTTCATCTATAAATATTAATATTATGATGTAAAAAAGCATAGATTCATCAGGAAGTAATTTACAAAAATTAAAATCTTCAATCATTTCATATTATAATTCTTTTATTTTATTTTCGTTTTACAATACAAAGAACAATCTTCTTATTAAAGAAAAACCCAAATATGACTATTCCTACCCAAATTGTAGCAATCCGATTGCTCCTACAATCAAATAACAATATCATTAATATATGGAAATTATACGGCAATGTCCGATTATAATTATTTGCAGTCATGTTAGGGCGATTCTATTAGTCTTGCAATTGATAATTACTACAATTTTTACTGTGACTATTTGCAACCAGATTATTACGATTTCGTATCTTCTATAGTTGTCTGCTGCTACTATAGTTCGTTGCAGGAATAAAATATCACGATCCAGAGCAATTCAAGTCGATTTTCACACTGCTTATGTTTACAAAATTTAAAATAAAAAATAATTTATTGTGACCTATTAAAAAATACAAATAAATCATTTTGACCAAAATCTATTTCTTCTATTAACTTTCCATTCATATTTTCTTTTTCAATCATTCCTCACCTTAAAATTCATTTTTCTTTCTACTCTCTTTTATAGTTAAAATACTAAAATAACTTTTAAAATGTATAATTATGTTGGACTTGGGTCCAAAAACATCCGAACGTGAAACAGACTCAAAGATAAAAATGGAGCCAGAACTCCTTGGCCACGGAGCCGCCGAATAACAATGGAACTTCAAGCCTCGGAGCCAAAGACTGTTGCCTCTACAGAGCCGAAGACAACAGTTTCGATTGGATTGTGGTGCTTCCACAGGGCTGAAAGCAGCAACCTCCATGGACCTTACGACAGCAACTTCTTGGACTATGGCGCTTCCATCCCGGAACAATGTTTCCATAAGGTCAGAAATTGTTGTCCCCATTGGGATGAAAACAACTACCTCCATTGGATTGCGGTGCTTCCACAAAGTAGATGAAGGTTGCCTCTATAAGATAGAAAACAACAACTTCCACAGATCATGGGATAACTACCTCTATTGGCCTTGGGTTAATAATTTTGTATTGAACATTAGTGGAGGGTCTATGCACCTTCATACTTTATTCAAAAAGCTCAATAGAACAAGCCAATAAGAGGAAAACCGAAGATTCTATGTAACTCGAGGCTGTTGGGGACACATCCCCGTGGACCGGCTAGAAGTACGATGGAAGCAAGTCGGAGTAAGCGACAAATCTGGTCTAGAGGGAATGGGAGAAGTTCGGAGCAAGTGAAACCCGGTCCAGAGGCAATGGAAGCAGTTGGGAGCTGATGGAAGGAGGTTACCATGTGGTTGATGGAAGGAGGTTACTAGGTGGTTGACGGAAGAAAGTTACCAGATGGTTGGGAGCTTATGGAATGAGGTTACCAGGCGGTTGCGAGTGGTGGAGGAATAATTGGAACTGCTCATTTTAGTGGGAAGAGACGGTTATTCTATCTTAGGATTAAAACTAGAAAAAAAAACACAGCACACACACGCATAAGAAAATGAACTTGTATATTTCTCTATTTCTTTTTCATATTTTAGTTTTGTTTATGCATTTTAATTTGAATTACATGTTTTTATGTTTCTAGCATATTTTTATCCGCTTTCTAGTAGATTTATCCGAGTTTTAGTAGATGTTAGCTTAAATCTATCGAAATCGATCGTTTAGGCTCGAAGCGTTGTTTAAGATCGACGTCGTGCAGGCTCCATTGCAGGAGCCGCCTCTAATCCGATGACGGGCAGGCTCTTTGGAGTACTTCCGGAACCCACACCGACGAATCGACGAACTATTTTGGAACCTTCAAATTTTAGGATCTATCAATTGGCACGCCCAGTAGGACCAAAGTCATTTTTCGAAGAGTGATGTCGAGGTTTACATGGGGTTCATTTGTACCGCCTGAAAAAAGCTACAGAATTGTTGCAGAACATCCAATGCTTCAGGCCTTAGGGCCTGGGCAGGCAAGATCAGGCTGGAACCAACAACCTGCAAGAAGTTGGAAGCAACAGTCTGGGAAGGCTGGAACCACCAGTCTGTGGAAGGCTAGTTCCAACAACCTACGGATGGCTAGAGCCAACAACTTGTGGAAGGCTGGCAACAGCGTGCAAAGTTCTGAAACTAACAGCCTGCGGAAGGCTGGAACCATCAGTTTGCGAAAGGCTAGAACCAACAGCCGGTGGAAGGCTGGCAACAGCCTGCGGAGCGCTGGAGCCAAGAGGCTGCGGAGGGCTGGAACCCCTT